ATAACACAACAGTAACAAACTCTTGAATTTCAAACGTGTGACGAGAACCAGAAGTTCACAAAGAAGAGACTTGAAAATATCTCATGTGACAGCCACAAAGCTATGCTTAACTGGACAAACATCAAGGTTAAACATTTCAGCAGGAAACTTCCCCACAAGCGTCACAAGTTTGACATGTGAAAATGTCAACAAATTTTAAAGAATAAGAAGCAGCTTGATGAATGGACAGTACTTTTGCCTTTAAAGCCGGAAACTTCAAGAGCAAACAAACTGGAGATTCATTTCCTCTGAACCATAACATTACTCCTCTCACAGCATGGAGCTGGGTTCAAGAAGATCCACCAGCAACATTTTTGAAACCCCTGAGTTAGTTCTACTTTTAATTACCAGTCAGGTGACACGGGTTCACTCTCATATTCAACTCTTTGTTTTGGTTCCGTTCACAATACAGCAAATGAGGGTCAGTGTGTGGTAGAGAGTGGTGCAGCTGCGATTATTCAAATTTCAGTTTCAAAACAACTTCATAGACAGAGTCGTCATTTCAATGTTGCCAGGTCGGTTTGGTGAATCCTGCTGGGAAACATTAGTTTAAAGAGGTTCTGTAATGTGCGTCACTTCTCTTTTCCTGGACAAAAATTCTGAATATTACAGACATTCCCCCCCGACATGAAAAAAAAAATAAGAAAATCAAGAAATAAATAAACTCTCCTCTTTCCTAGAACCAGGTAAGAACTATTCCTCCAGATCAAGAAAAGCTTAAATATTGACTGCTTTAAGGGTTTATAAGTCCAGTAACCGGGTTCTTCTGTCGTAGATCTAGACCCCAGTTAAGACTTGCCCAGAGATGTACAGACCACATCGCCTCACTCTACTGTGCTTACGCTCTATGTATTAAAAAGTTATTATTGGTCCAAGGGTACTGGTTGTTTATCTTGCCCAAAGCACACATCCCTGGCCTGGTGCTTTCATGGTTCACTGCATCATCTTGTTAACGTTTACTGCAGCGTCCCAGGCAGAAAAAAAATATTCATAACAAAAAAATTACAATGTACATTTTTGCCCTTATAAAATGGACATGTTCACATTATTAACATTAGAGAACTTAATAATTAAAATAACACTCTCATTAACGGTAGTCACTACCTACATCTACAATATACTTTAATCTTTAATATACTTTAATCATCTACTCGTATTGTGGATGATTCATTTTCTAAACATCTAAAATCAGAATCAGGTCTGCAATCACTGTGTCCGTACTGAACATGGAAAGCACTTCGACCTCAAAGGTCAGCTGGCTCTGCAGCACATAAACCAGCATCGCTCTCAGCAGTGACACATGTGGAATAGAAAGATAACACACAAAACTACCACCGTTGTCTCTGACCCTGGAGAGAGAGTCGAGAATGAATCGACCACAGATTGGAATCTGATCATTTGATTTGATCAGTGATCAACATGTCAATTGCTAAAAAAAAAAAAAATGCTTCAAAACTAATATTTTTCTCTGCATCAACCAACAGCATGTCCTTCAGAGTTTGGTAAAAAAAAAAAAAAGCTAATATAGCTTCTGGACATGGAGATAACCTTACAATTCCTTCATTTTCTGATGGATTCAAAACTACTACCTCCATCAAGTAACATGCATTTATTTTCCTTTTGTCTCTCTTAAACCTTAGAAAAATAAACTCTATTGTGTCAAAATTGGAATCTGTATTTCAGACCTGAAAGGAAACCAGATCTCAGCATCGTCCAGGAAAAGCTTGATCGCTGAGTCTTTACTTGACATGAGCCGTTTATAAAGAAGAGATTGTGTAACATTCTTATTGGGTTTGTGGGCTACAGCCTTAAAGCATTAAGCTTAACACCTTTGCCATAACCATTGCACTTCTGAGTGTGTTCACTGCTTGCTGCAAGAACGGATGCTACACCACGAGCTCCATCCACTTAAATGAAAGCATTGAGATTTTACATATTATGCAGCTAGATGAATGTGAAACCAAAAAAGATCAGATCAAAAACTCTGCATCAGCTTTCACTCCCTAGAACAAAAATCCATATCAGAACGACCATTTGTGTATATCAATATTCTGCACATAACAAGGACTACAAGATGGCAGTAAAACGCAGCTACAGCAAAGCCAAATGGAAAATCTGACAGATGTTTCCTCTCTTGAGCCAAGAAAGAGAAGACTACTGAAACCAAAACAGCCAGGCTACAGAAAACATACAGACATTTACAGAATGAAGACAAAAGAGAGGAAGTTAATTAGGAACTTCCTAATTATCTAAAATTTCAGGGACCTCAATAATACCCAATTAAGACAGGAATTAAGTATTTTGATAAAGAAAAGAAAAGAAGTGGGATTTTTTTTCTTCTTCTTGTTGTCTGGTGACCATCATCAGACAATTTTATGCCTGACTGTCTCTGGTCAGTCATCACCTGCTCAAAAGCCACAAATCTGATCACTCCGTCACATTGACGACACTCAAACTCATCGGTGAGGAAGCTGTTACTGTGTGAAGACGACTGTTATCCATTTTTAGAATCAGTGTGTGAAAATGAAGCAAGAGAAAGGAAAAATGTTTATGCAGTGCAGCAACTTTAACCAAGCTACTGCCCTAAATAATAATGTAGGAGGCTAAACACATCTTGAAATATCAAATCTGATATCTTGATTTTATTAACCACCAAATAAAACATAATCACTGGTGAGTTCTACACTGACTACTTTTTAAAATAAAAGAATAAATTGTTAGACAATGTTACTTGTTGTCTGCTAAATAATATAAAAACTAAAATCATCTTTTCAGTTGGATTTTATTATTGGATATCTTTTACCACAATGTGAAGAATTGTACTCTATTTGTAGAACCTCAAAAACTAAAGACATTTTTGGCCTGTTGTTAAGATGGCTTGATTTTCAACTTACGCAGTCATTAGAAACTATTTCCTGTTGATGTCAGTAAATAAAAGTTTATTGTCTGAGCAGAGATGTTCAAAGTCAGTGATCAGAAGTTGGCCAGAAAGTCTGTGAAATTTCAGATGGTTACGAAACGTTAACACAAAAGCAGAAAGAAAAAGTTACAAAATTTCAGAACCAGTGGCTCAAAGATGTAAAACAATCAAAATTTGGACATTGTGAAATAGTAGTCAGTTCTACCCAGATCCTACAATTATCTTTCTGTTTAATTTTTAAGAGTCATTGTCTTTTACACAAGCCCCATTGCCTTTTGTAAGTCATTTATTATAATGATTATTGACAGAGAGCTTTGAAAAACTGAGAGACCTCATGGAATTTCTAAAATGCTTGTAATTAAGAACCAGACACTCGCGGTACGACCTTGAGTAAGAATATCAGTTTCGCAGTAACACAATATTTACAAAATATTCATTACACAATCTATTTGCTTTTATTTAAAATGAAAAGCAGCTATTATTCCTACAACAATAAAACCAAAACATTTATAATAATGTTATGTGTATTATTTTGATATAAATAGAAAATATTGAATATGTTGTTTTCAGCTGTAGTTTTAGAACAGCCTTAACAAGACAATAGTTGACACTACACCATGACTTTAAGGCCGTTTTAAGAAAAATATATTTTTCCAAGAAGCAAAATTTCTCAATTTCTTCAAATAAGAAAAAAAAAAAGAAGAAGCAAAACACAGCTTTCCTTTCAGCCAGCTGACCAGCAGAGAGGGGCAGCAAATGGCTTGTTCCCAATCCATTTAGTTCAGAACTTTTATTTATACAAAGTTTATCAGTGATAACGGTAATGGAGAACATTTTAGAGGTTTTGAAAGCATCCCCTGAGACTGTCAACAAGACATACCCTGCTAGTAAAGATATAATTATCACACCACTAGGAATCAATAGAGAATCATGAATATGGAGGATTTACACGACCGCTGCACAGAAGGACTGGACTTATTTGGATGCGTGTAGACTCGGTTACAAGAAGCAGGGCAAAGGGGATTCTGTCAGGGATGTGTGACAGTGTGTCATTGGTTCTGTGGGGAAGCTGCACAGCTGCTCTGGGGGAAGGGCTCCCTTCAACCATGTCCTGGATGGATAAATAAATAGGTAACATCCAGTCGGTTATCAAAAATAAACAGATAAATCAACTGGAGAGCACACTGACAAAATGTCCGCACCGTCACTCGACCACAAGATTGAGAAAAGGTGAGCGGCACAGGAGGATAAAGCCTGTAATTCTGTTAATGGCAGGTTTACACAGATGAACTGGGTCCCGCACACGCCAACATAGATAGCTCCATACGTGTTCCAGCACTCCTCACAGTCTCTTTGTTCCTGTGACACCACAGCAGATGATGACTGCAGGCCTGCAGTCAGTTTATGTCAACAGTAATCAGTGTGAGTCACAGTTACACAGCAATAAAACTTGTCTGAAGCGGAAACCTGTGCAGGAACACACCCTGTCAGGGGGGGCTTGTGTGACGTTCAACTGAACGAACATGTGGTCACAGGTGAAGAAGAATTAGACAGAAAACAAACCAAAAAAATAAATAAAAGTGAGGAGCCAAGGTGACAAGAGAGTCCAGCTCTGGTGGTCAGACCTTCCCAGTAGCTAGCCCAGTAGGTCAGACAGCCACACACAATGAGCTGTGGCCTTGACATTTATACACAAAGGAAGAGAACTGCTTTTGACAAACAAAGTCATGTTTGGGGTTCACGACATTATGGAAGAAAGGTGGGAGGGTGGGAAAGGAGGGGAAAAAAAGGAAGAAAGTCTGTCTTCTCCGACACAATGCAGCTTGTCATGCTCTGCTAGCCCCACATCCTGTAGTAGCTCTAAACCAGCTAAGCCTGAACGCCTCCCATTCAATTTACCGTAGAGAAAAAGTCGAGCAGGTGAAGAAGAAGTGGGGTTTTAATTAAAGCCGGCAGACACCGAGAGGCAGGAGACATACGGTGCTATCCGGGAAATCACTTAAAGCATCCTCCATCTGCCCCCAACCCTCCCTTCCTTTACCTTCAGACAGCTCCAGGTCCAACTCCGCCAACTGGTCTCGAACCTCCTTCGGCAGGGCGGACAGATCCACGCCGCGGTCCGCCATGACTTCGCCGAAAACCACGAGAGCAGTCTGTGTGGGAAGAAATCTGGCCGTCGCGAAGAGATTTTGAAAAACAAAAATAAAACCCCTCCCTCAAGACACAAAACAAGCATCCGAGAGGGAGAGACGGCCCATCCGCACGGCTTGCCCTTCCGCCATAATGGGGGGCGGGAGGGGGGGAGTAACTCACCAACGGCAACGTGTAGTCACGTTACCTCCGCCTGCCTCTGTTGTTGCTTCACCGCATCCGAGATGCTGTTAGAGCTGCTCCCCCTAGCGGCGAACTGAAACAAGCGCACGCACGCCTCTCACTGGAACTGCATGACACCAAAATGAGGGGACACACAAACGTTTCACAAAGGAAATATAAAGGAGATATATTAAAAATGTGATCCTATACTCCAATCAATGTGAAATTAATTGGAGAATAGTCTTATTACATGCTCAAGGATTCTTGCCACACTGGTATGTGGGCTGCCGTGCCAATTCTGTTGTTAAGATGTACTTCTTAAATGTGTCTTATTGTTGTTTTTTCCCCATTTGTGAAGGATTTATGACTGCTGTCTGAGAAAGGTACCATATAACTAAAATGTACTTACCATTTCCATAACCTTTTTACATGTAAAGATATACATGTATGGCAGTTTCACTATCTCAATCCCTTATCAAAAGGCTTTGTCAAAGAAAGTGTTTCCCTCATAAAGATTTTTGTTTTGTTTTTTGTCACACTTAAGTGTTTCAGAAGATAAGTCTGAAACATTTTGCTCAACTTCAGTAAATACAAAAGGCAGTTTTCAAGTGATTTTTTTTTTATTAAAAGGACAAACCAAATGCAAATTCCTTTTAAAATCTTGAATTTACTGTTTAGGTTCAGTTTCACTAGACTCATCCTGGGAATCGCTTAAATAGATCCTGTGTAACAACATTAAGTCTTGTATGTTCAAACATTTCAAAAAGCAGCACATCTAAGAAATTCAACAGCTGGTAGGAAACAAAGTTCTTGATATCTTTCATTTTTACTCTAAAAATGGATGCAAAGCCATTTCTATGGCAAATCCCAGTAAAGCATGCAGCTCCGTTACCTGTCCAAGGTGTAATCTGCCCAATGGCTGCTGGAAGATTTGTGGTTATGGAAGTTTGTAGTTTGTATTTCCAAGAAGTTTATGCGGATGAGGTGACACTAAATCAGTTCAGGATGGATCAGTTTCACATGTCAAAAGCAGAAGCAATGTTTGGGACAGATTACAATGGAGGAAAGAGGAAAATGTGAAAGAAAAAAAGACCCACAAATTTCCTTATGATGTAGTTTCTTTAATTAAAACTGCAGCACTTTAAAGTGTTCATGGTATTCCACTTGGACATGCATGGAAAAGTATATATATTTATATAGTACAGATATGTACAATAAACATTTCTGAAATCATCCATCTGACAATGGGAGTGTGAAAAATAAACAGAAATATGATGTGAAACTGTTACCAGAGTTGCATTTTCATAACAATTTGAATATTAAAAAGGGCAAAGACTGAAAAAGCAAAATGTAAATTGACCAATTTAAAGAAAAATAATAAGTTAGACAAAGACAGCCAAGGGTGGTGACTTTTCTTCTTGAAAAAGGTTTATGTTTCTTCTATAAAGAATACAAACCGATAAAAACAAGCTGTGTTAAATGAAATTAGTCTATATTCATCAGTACAATCAAAAGCAGTTTGAGAAATGGCTGCACGGTGTTTACAACACCACACAAAAACAAAAGAACAGTAAATGACAGAAAAGGTGCCCATCACAAAAACAAAACAAAAATATGAGCGCTATATTAGTTAAAATTTTCGTTTCATATAAACAATCTATATGGGACTGCTGGCTAAATATAGCGCCAACAGGTAAAACAAAACAAAAACAAAAACAAAAAAATGCCAGGGTCGCCATTGGGACTGTAGGATGAGAGGTTCAGTTGGAGCATAAAGTTTTAAAGTTGGTGAGAAAATTCCCATTCACATCTACAGTACGACTTTTACAAAATTGTCATGAACAAACTTCTGTTCTGAAAAACAGAAAAGCTGCACATACGTGACCCGATGACGAGAAATACTAAGCCACATTATACTCTTACTTTAGTGCATATTAAAGTATCATAATGATAGAGATATCTTGCTTTTCAAATATAGCATCTTGTAAATATATGGTCATAGGCAAAACAGAGAACAGAAGTGCATGAGGACAACAGGAAAAGCGTGTTATTTCTGTGTTCATGGGGGAGAAAAAAATGATCAATATTTAGTTGAGCATCTTGGATAGAATTTTAATTAAACCTTTAGAAGTTTCTGTTCTGAAAGCTTTTACTAGAAAACACATTTTCTCTGTTTCTCCACCAGATGACAGACAAGTACAAGTAAAGTATTTCCCTAATTCTTCATTTTCAAAACAGTAAGTTGCTGAAACAGTATTAAAAAAAACTGTCAAGTATAGATTTCGGAAGTTATTAGCGGCTGATGTGAAATAATTTCTCCAAGAGTCTTTGTTTAGTAATACCAGAATTTTTTTAGACATTTAAGAAGAAATATTAGAGGCACTAATGTGATCCGAAGGCAAAACCCCCCCAAAATTTTCAGGGGTGTGTGTGACTGTGTCAAAATGCAAGAAACAAGTAGTGATAGACTAGATTCTGTCACTGTAACGCAAACTAACAGTCAGACTACTTCCTGTCTCAGAAGAAGTACCAGGCGGTCTTTGGAGACTCAGAGATTATGGCTTAGTTTAGGTTTGGTAAAGAGCACAGCGACTTAAAAAAAAAGGGTTCGTCACACTTCCAACAAGCAGCAAGGATGATCTGCCATCCTGAAAAGTGTGAAAAATAACAGTTACAGAAAGTCCTGGACCCACACAGAAATGCGATCAGAGTAATTTCATATAAGATGAAAAACAAGGAAGGAAACCAACTTCCAACCCAGCTGAACGGTCTGCCTGATTTTTAAGGAAAGATGGCGGACAGCGGAAGATAAATTCCCTTCAGGTTAAATTGAAAATTTAAGGGGGAAAAACAAAAACAAAAAACTTGTTTGAGATCAAAATCTAATCCTTTTTGGTTGTAGAGACTGATATTGGATGATATGCCAAATCAGATAGCTGCACATACTTTACACCCACTCGGGAAAAGTCACATGCAAACAACACAGCTAGCAATGTGTCAAGTCTGAAGCAACTACTCATGTTCTGCTGTACATAAGCTAAAATATGTCTTCAACATAAAGAGGCGGTAAATGAGGAAAAGCGTTTGGATCCATGATCAGATTATATTGATGCGGAACCGTTAGCAGGAAGCTGACCGTCGGAACCAGGAGAAGTGGGGAAAGTTATTGCGTCTTCTGAGCTGAAGATGAATGCAATATGCAGTGATGGGTGTGTGGGTTGCGGGCATGGTGATTAATGTCCAGGGGCACGAGGCACTATTCCCAGCTGAAAACAGCATAAAGTCCTGTGTGCTGGATCTGATTTGATCAATGTTTATGCAACTCCTTTGAGTTTGAAACTGTGCACATAGGAAGTTCAAAATCACGGCAGATTACTGCACGCGCGTTCTCGCAGCCAGGTGAGAGGGTCATCTTCACCTAGGGTGAGGGAGATGAGCAGGCGGGCAAAGAGGAGGGGATGTCGGAGTCCAGCCCCTGTAGTTTATGGCAAAGTTAACAGGAAGCTCTCCCAAAAGTCTCAGTCCGTTCCCAGAAGGCTGCTGCTGTTGCTGCTGAGCTCCAGGCCACAGCTTGATGGCTCCACAGGAGGATCAAAAGAGGAGACGTGGAAAGAGGGTAGCAGGAGATGTGAAATTTGGACCTAAAGGCTGTGGATGGTGGGAGTCTTTTCTACCCTGGGTGGCGAGCCAAGCCTGGGCCAGTGGTGGCGCTGCTCATCATCTGGCAGCAGACTGAGACTGTGCAGCCATGATGATGTGCGAGGGTCCACCCTCGACCCTCTGGTGCTGCTGACCCATTCCTGCGAGCACCGACATGGCCATGGCCTCGGCTGCGGCTCTCGTGCTCAGGCCGTTCTGAATCGCAGAGGGGCTGGGAGCCAAAGAGCTGTGCTGAATCACCGGAGCCGGGGACCCTGTGGGCTCAGAGGTTTCCTTTAGGCTCTCTTCTGCAGCTGCAGGGGGGGAAAAGCAACACAGGACAAATGAAGCTTGAAAACTGTAAGCACAAATTTATGACAAAATGGTGGATATTTACTTGTAACAAGGCAAACGTGTGTCCGAGATTCTGTCAGAAATGCTGAATATTCATTTCTTTTAACTAGAACTTGTGAGCAGATTGAGTTATTAAAAATGTTTTATATTAGTTTATATTTTTCACTTTGTTATTAACAAAATTGTGGGGAAAAGAATTAAACATTGCCTTTTATGTCTTTTGCTTTACACATCTGCGTGGGTGGGACATGTTCATGCAAAACAAACATTTCCTTGGTTACCTTACTTTTGCTTATTTGGTGGCTGCTGCTTTTTCCATAAGCTAAATGTGACTTTGCAGTGAAGATAACTAAAAACGAGTACACGAGTCTTTTAAACAGCTAAGTCAAGTCGAAACGTTTCCCAAAAAGAATAAAAATGAACCAAATGCCACTTCAGCTGCTCATCTGGATGCTACAGACGAAGGGCCTGAATCTGAAAAGCAAAAACAGGAAGGTTTTGTTTTCCTTTTTTATAATTAAGTGTAGTTTGTAACAAATAGAATATATAGACGTATATGTGTGCCCCTGCGTTGAGTCGTGTGCGTTGGGGTTTGTCAGGTGGATTTTTTTCCTGTGAATCGCTTTCTCGTGTCATATCCGAGTGGGTCAGAAACTAACCGCCAGGTGCGCGGTTAGTTGCGCCAAGTCTGTTGTGCACTTGCGGCTTATATTTGTGTTATTGCACATTGGGGGACGTGGCTGTGTGGGTCAGGTGCAGTGATGCTCTCTGATAATATCCCGCAAACATTCAAGGCCTCAAACACACACGTCCTCCGTTTTGTCTTTTGTTGTTGCTCTCAATAACACTTTAGTCTCACTCTTCAGTCTGTGCTGTCCTCTTCATCACACAGCACTCCAGCCTTTCAAAACCCGTTGGTGAAAAAGTCAAATATTGGCCATGTCAGTTTTTAACACGTGTGAATACAGCATCAGTCTATAGACTGCTTAGTGTTTGAATTTATTCAAACACTAAGTCTTTAGTCTTCTGGGCTGTACCTAAGTAAGCAGTTTTCTTTTGTAGGGTGGTGACAGGGCAGTCCTTGTGGGCGAGCAGCAGCTGTTTCAAATGTGCCACCTCGTTTCGCAGCAGAGAAACCTCATTCTGAAATGAAACGGAACAAAAAAATAAAATAAAATAAAGACGATTCAGACCTCATTTGTAGGTTATACTGTATGAGGGAAAAAAAATACAAATTAAATACCACCACTGGAATCCATCATTTGAAACACCTGAGCATTCACATATGCGTGTTTTGCTTAAAGGGGTTTTAAACAGATGTGCCTGCTCCAAGATTTAAGTCTTGCAACACTTAAAACTTCTGTAAAGTATAAGCTTTCATTCCTCTTCCACCCACTCCAAGTCGACTCACCGACAGCGAGACGTTGAGAGAGCTGAGCTCCTCGGCCTTCTTCTCCAGAGAACTGACCCACAGTTTGCGCTTCTGTCTGCAGCGCGATGCCGCCGCCCTATTCCTCTCCAGGAAGCGTTGCCGTCGCTCATCTGGGTCATCGTCTGCCGTCCGCCGTCGACGCCCACCTGTAGGCTGTGCTGGAGATACCTGAGGGAGAGAGATGGCAAGAGGTCAAAAGGAAACAGACAGACAGGCGAGGGGAACGGAAGAAAGACAAGAAAGAAAAGGGAAGTTTGACTCACAGTTTCAGTATTTAAAACTAACACACATTCCAGTCATCTCAGTACACGGTTGCAAGTTTTGATGACTTCAAAAGATTATTCAGCCTTCATCGATCAAGATTAATTTTATCTCTGTTTTCTTCAACTTTAAAGTCTGTGGAGAACAGCAGCGGGAGCTGACATAAACACCTGAGGTTGTGCAGGCGAAGGGGCGTCCGGATGCTGGACAAGCAGCTGGCTCTGCTCTGCTTTCTGCGGAACCATGGGGCTGCTGCCCATCACCATGGATCCCAAGTTCTGACCTGACGGGCTCTGCTGCGACAGCGCTGCTTTCAAGCGCTACAGGGGAAAAACAGTTCAAGAGAGATATCACTGGCAAGCACAGGAAGTTGCACTCACACACCAAGCAAAGCAAGAGCAAAGTGGCCCTTCTGTTGTGAAGATGATCAAAACATGGAGGGTATAAAAATGCATGCTTAGAGGCAATAAAATTACTGCAGCAAGTCCGTGTTAACTCTAAAACTTCCAGACACACTCATTTTAAATGGCATTTACCAACAAGATAGAATCTTGTCAAGATAAAATCAAGTTAAAATCTACCCTAAAGCAACAGACATAATGCCCCTGATCTGAGCACTTCCTCGACTATCTGAGCTGAAAATGGCAACAAAGCATAGCAGAACACAGGATGTATTTATTTTATTATAGCCGAACATCAGTGGAAACAAATCAGATGGAAAAACACATCTAAGCAGAAATATACCATTGTGACTGTTACCATTTAATTCAGTGTCGCCATTTATTATAGTTTGAGTAACACTGGAGTCAAACTCCAGTTTAAACTTGTGAGACTGAACCCCTGTGACTCTAACGAAACTTGAGCTTAAGTTAAAATCTGTCAAAAGTCACTTGTTTGCAAAAAGGTTCACCAACTAGCCTGATAGTTGTGTCCTGTGACGTCATTTACCCGCATCCACACAAAGCAGAAGTCTGAAGGTTTTGTGGGTTTTTTTCAGTGCAGTTTTTAAAAAATGGTATATTGTGAAACTCGGCAGTGGGTACTCCACTATTCAGCTAGCTCTCTATCATCAGCAAAAATAAATAAATAAAAAATTCCTGAAAAGTCATTTTAAGGCTTTTTTCAAAAATAACTCGACATAATAACTCGCATCCAGCTACCGTTTTAGATAGTTTGAAGCAAGTTGTTGTTCCCAATGATGTAAAAGGTGAGCTGTGTGATGCAAGTTTATTTATAGGGGGAATAGCATCAATTCTCTGAGGAGTGGATATAAAAAGGTTTGTTTTCTGCAGCACACACTCATGTGACATGGTGATCTATCTAATCGGGCCTTGGTTCTTGAGGCATTGCATGACCCTGCGAAAAGTTTCAGATGATGATACTTGATTATTATGATGTTGCACTGTGATCCCCTATTGTCCTGTTGGCAAAGAAGCCTGGCCAATAAGGTATAAAACCTATTAGTCAGAACAGATACATTAATCCTACAACAATAACTTCCTAGTTTCCATAAAGCCAAAGCTTTTATGGAAACTATTGGTCTTCAAATTAGTTAAAAAGCCATAAGAAAGCAGCAGCCTTCACTTTTTCAGCACCTACTGTGACTCGATGCATGTAAGGGTTAAATAACAAGCTTACTGCAGTAAAAAGTCATATGATGTACAAAGTAAGGCAAAGCAGACCAAGTCTGGAGGGCAAGGATGCAGACAAGAAGAAGAGATAAGGAGATAGAAATAGAGAGCTAATTTAGTGCTGACCATCTTGGCCTCTGAGTGGATGCTGTAGCCAGAGGGGGAGTTGGAGCCGCTGCTGCTGCCTCCCAGAGGAGGACCAGGGATTCCAGGAATGTTGGGTACCATACACATGGGTCGAGCCAGCTGGAGTCAGACATGATGCATAAATGCACATAAATTAAGACATAACAGACTTGTTCCCTCCAACGATGACATTGTACATATTGCTGGTCAGTCTTACATTAATGACGGAGGGTATCTGGACAGGACCAGGGAGCACAGGCACAGCCTGACCAGTGGGAAGCATCATCATTGGGTAATGGCTAGTTGGTGAACTATTAAGAGACAACAGGAGAAAAAAGGAGGCGTTTCATAAATTGCTTTCATTGCGTAGTCATCCGTTGGAGCAGAGGTATTAACCCTTGTATCATATTGAGGTCAAACATAACTAGACAAAACATAAAAAATTAAAAAATAAAAAGCTGCCACTCTGGGTTTTTCAGTACATTTCTGAAGTGCTTTGAAAATAGTATATACATGAGCAAATTGCAACAGGCTGACAGTAAGAAGTGACTCTCTAAAATGTTTCCCATCATCAGTGTTGAACACAGTTCATCTGTTAAATTAGACTCATTTAAAACCACAACTAACCAAAGCTTAAAAATAATCAACAAAAACAAACAAACAGATATGCATATTAGACAGAAACTGAAACCAAAAGCAGCATATAATATTTAGAAAAGCTAATTTAAAAAAAAAGCTCTTTTTAATTAATTTTATAATCTTAACTGAACATAGCACCACACCACATGGTTATTGCTGAGAATTAACAAAAAATTTTTTATTGTTTCTTTCTTTAAAAAAAAAAAAAAAAGTAACCCAAAAGAATTTGCAAACTTTAATTTAAAGATACTAAACCCTTGTAAGTTTTGGATCCTTAATGATTTACTCAGCCTCTCAAGTGAAAAAAAAGAAAATAAAAATCAGACTACTTTCTTGATTAGTAAAATATTACAGGGCTAGTTCATTATTAAGCATGTATATTTTTGTTATTTAGGGTTTTTTTAATTATATGTTTGATTAAGGGTCCAACATTTGTTTATCTGGGTATATGCTTAATTAGGAAACACTGACAGTCTTTTCAATATTTTGTGGTTAAGGTAGGGATTTACATTTTCTAGGGAATACACAAAAATATTACAGCTTCCGCAGTAATAAGAAACTAAAAACAACTCTTTGACTTAGGGATTCAACACATTTTTTGATGTGAAGCTCCCAGACTTTTCCACATTAAGTGTCCCAAAGTTCTTAGTTTCTACGTAGTATTTTATAGAACATAAAATTCTACATAATTTAAATAAATATTAACAAACTAATGACTAACAAAGGAGGGCACAAGGCAGGAAGATATAATACAAGAAAAGAAGGGAGACTGGACACAATAAAAGGAAGGATAGGAAGCAGGTTGGAAGGAAGGCAACAACATTTAGACAAAGGAGGGAATAAAGTCTGGAAATATAAATACATTTCCAGATTTATTTTCCCATGGTTATCAAAATAAAAGTAAATCAAAAATGCCTTAATTAATTTCTAGACTTCTCTAGAGTATGTAGGAACCCTGTTCATTTTGTCTTTATTTTAAAATCATAAAACCCTGATATGACTGACTCTGGCTCAGTCAGTAGGGTCAGCTTGCAATCTCAAAGCTGTGGGAGAGAGTCCAGCCACTCATTGATGTGCCCCTGAGCAAGGCACTTCATCCCAAATTGCTGACCAATCAGCATAACAGTGGATGACTGTAGCTCTGATAAAAAGCACTTTGAGTAGTCAGTATGGCTATTTGTATGACACCCACCAATATTAAGTTACATGGCCTTTAGCTTTGATTATGCCATTTTCTGTGGCATTGTTTTAAACAAGCTTCTGCATCCAGGGTTGCATACATTTTTCGCCAGTCTTGTATTGACAATGGGGGTAGAATTTATGAGGCCTTAAAAGAGAAAAAAAACAAAGAAACGAACCCAGCTCAAGCCCATAAACGCTGTGTCCGAAGGCGATCCAATGGTCTAATCAACTCTAGTTAGAAGCCAGAATGAAACCCATCACACTTGTTGTCAACTACCAGTTTAAAACCCTTCCAGTTCTCTGACTTTGCATTCTGCTGGTGGAGAAGTCTGACTTCTGCTTTTAGCTTTTGTTTTTTACATCTTCCAGCTCCAATTTGTTGCTAATTGTAAATGTAGATTTGACCCTTCTTAACAGACGAGCATCTATTTCTACTAATCTAGGCTACGTCTTTCAACATGCTTAAGAAATGAGAAGCTACTCATTGCATCAGTTTGAGCTATATAGCTTGTCGCCAGCTAAAAGATAATTGAATATCCAATAGAAGGCTCATACTCATTTGCTTAGTTAAATCTCGGGAGCATTGCAGTGCAACAACCATCAGCTAAAATCAGCATTAGCAAGTCGAAGTTGGATGTCATCAAATTATCATTGGTATATTTTTAGTGAGATGCAGACGGCTGAAAATTACTCACCCCAGGGTGCGATTTGAAGGCGGAGCCTGTGTGATGACGGAGGTGGGTGATGGCATGGTGGGGTGAAGGGCATCAAAGCCCAAGTGTAGTGGAAGAGAACCTGGGCGGACAATGGTTGGAGTGGGAGCTGAACTCCTAGGTGGTGTCTCCTAAGAAAGAAATAATTCAATATATAAAAAAAAAAAACTGCTGTACTAATTTTTAACAGGATTTTACAGAAAATGGAATTAATACATTAGAAGTAAATGTTGTAGAGTGACAAAGCGGCAGTGATAAATGAGTTATTTTGTATTTCTCCTCCACACCTTTCCTCTAACCACTGGCTCCTGGTTGCTGTCCGACTTCCCAGATATCGATTCAGGGCTGCCTGGAGGTGAGGAGTCGACTTCCACAGGTGATTCCCGTTTCACCTTCACATCTGATGGCGTCTGCAGGCTCATATCTAAAGCCACAGAGTTGGCAGCAGGAAGCTGTGAAGTGACAAAGGGAAAAAAAATAAAAAATAAAGCATAAAAAAAGGGAAGTTGGTATTTATTATACAAATCTGCTTTTCACAGTTAGGTTCATGAAACTCCATGTTCAGTGCAATGAATAACCAATGCATCTGCTGAGAACTCTACTTGCAAACTTCTGCAATAACTGAAATTCTAATGATGCAGAAAAAAAACTGTGCAACACAGGAATTTGAAACTGTAGTTTTTGATTAAATCAGCAACTGAGTTAGAAAGAGGGAAGTAAAGATGAGGGTTTTTTTTTTTAGCACACTGGAGTATGTAGGAAATTTCCCTAGTCTGAACATAACAATACACGCAGAGATGAACATTAACGCAACAGAAAAAAGCCGTCATGGTCGTCCTCCCCAGGTTGATTTCTTACAGAGTTCTTCGCCTTCTTGTCTTCGTCATCTTGGTCGAAGGAGTTGGCGAGTTCGTTAAACAGGCCGACTTCCTCGCAGTTCTTAAGAAAACGAGTGGGGGTCGGTGTCTGATCTGGGAAAGAGCAACGACAACGAACAATATCAATTGAATATATTTTAAAACATTATCACACTTGGTTAGCCATGATAAAGACATTTTTGAGTTTGTTTTTTTCAACAATTGTGCAAAGGTCTCGCATCACTACTCATTTCTTTATTTTCTTTTTTTTAAGTGATGCGTGCATAATTTCCAGTTCAGTATATCAACATCATGCAAATTGTTTTTTAACCTGCTTTATTTTAATCTGTGGCTCAGATGCAAAAAACATCAAGAAACAAGCTATTATTTAAGATAAAACACCTTAAACTGTATCACTACATGATTTAATCGGATCTTATTTTTAATTTTAATTTAACTGGTAAATGGACTGAATGCATAAAGCACTATTCTCGTCGTACAACTTCTGGATTGCAAGACCACTGCTCTATCCACTGAGCCAAAAAAATTGCTAGCTGACAAACATCTGTGAATCATTGGCAGGATTACACAATATAGAGGACAGTCAACAAGCTCCCCCATGTCCTCTTAATTCCTTATTGTGTCCATGTATAAAAATCTAACTTTAAAATAATATTATAAATGAACATCACAATAAAAATAAGCAACAATATCTAGCTACAGTAAGAAAAATATATACTATCTTAATTCAAATCAATTGCAAAAGTTAAAAACTAATGTAGATATTAAAGGTATGCACTAGAATATCATTCCAACACATTCTTACATACAGTGCACAGGTAGGCAAAATTCTCACCAAAAAGATTAATTTTTTTGAGTAACTTTACAGGTTCAAAATCAGCTTTAAATATAGATTGAGGTGAAGAAATAGGAACAAACTATATCTTCACTAGAGGCTTTTTATATTTAATTTTTTTTTACAAAAATAAAATTTTTAGCTGATTCTTTGACAAGTGAATTGAAGACTAGGGCTGCATGATACTAGGAAAGCATGTACGATCACAATATGACAAGCAATGAATAAGAAAATCCTTAAGTATACAGCATTGATGTCATTCTGATTTGGGTTTAATAAAATCATAGGCCCAGACAGTGAAAAGTATGGCATTTCTGTGGTTAGCTAATATATACACTGACATTACGATGAAGATAAATCTGTGACATGTTGTGCTTGCCTGTCGCAATAATTAATTTTCATGTTAAATTTATATACAAATGATTAACAAAAATAGTCCTGAGTTCTGGGAAGCAGAATCTAAAAACTGAGTGAAGAGTAATGGCTTTATAACAATACTGCATGGGATACAAAAACTTTACCTGCAATTATAACAGAGTCAGTCCTGGCTGGTCCAAACTTCAGTGTCATCTCATGCTTGTGTTTGTGTACAGCCAAGTGGTCCTCATTGGTAAACCTCTGAAGCAAGTGAACAAGAAGAAACACGAGAATATTACATGAATAAGCCAGCAGATAATTGTAACTGTTACTTAAGGAGGCAGCCCAGATTACTGTAATCCAGACATCAAATTGCAATAATCACACACAGATGTAGCACATCACATGCAGGGAATTGAGCAAAAATGATGAGAAAACCCCACAAAGAACACCAAATCTGTGGTATGAAGTTTCTTGCAAGTGTAGGCCAATAATAGCTTGAAGATATGGGCTCACATAACCTTACATAGATTAAACTACCGGACAGAGATAAAAGATCAGCGTGGATTAGAGCTGAAATTACTCAAATGAATTTAATGGCGTAAAAATTACATTAACTCACTGTTGTCACCAATGTTGGGGTGTAAGGCTTAGGGATAATGTGAACTATGACTGGCCCTTCAATTTTAGATTACCTCCTATCAGGTATCACATTAGGAGCTACAGGAGCTCCACTGCAGGACACAAATCAGACATATAGACGAAGGTACGGCCACTGTCCTCTGAGACATGGAACGTCTTTACTTGAGAAGTGGCGATGTGATTCACTCCGAGACGTAGGAGGAATAATCTTGGCTCTCACACCAGCCTATTCACTATTCACTGCAGCCTATTTTAGGGCACTGCGTTACAGTTGCAACTTCAGTCAGGAGAGCGCAGTGGAAACACAGTCGAGTGTCAGGAGCCTTATTTTTAGCCCGACTAAAAAGCATCACCAATCCATGTCTCATCTGTCTCTATCCTCTGAACAAGACGACTAAATCTTGAGGGAGAAACTATGTCCAGGTATCTCCATGCCTAAGATAATGGAGGCTAGGATTACCTTCCTGATACAATAAATACTGGGCACCAATTCAAGGGGTTTGTTGTTGTTGTTGTTAACTTGGTGAGAGGAAAACCTTGGCCAAAGCCAAAAGTCAATCATCCTTGTTCTATTACGGGCAGGATTCAGATTTTCCTGGTAGACAACTGTTGCTTGTAAAGGGCAGCAGTAAAACAGCATTTGAACATTAAGATCATGTACCGTTAAGGGTGTTATGTATCCAACGCACATAAAAATCACCACAGCGATTGGTCTAAAAGCTCATAAAACGTAAAATTTAGTATTTAAAAACAAACAGCTTGCTGCAGGGCCTCTGGCTTGTAGAGAGCCCATTCTCACAAAACGAGGGGATGTTGAAATATGTCCTGTTCAGCTGTTGCTGAACGTGAACTCAGCTTTTGATTCCACTGATTATCACATCCCGTCCAATAATGGGTGGGTCTTCTGGGCTATGCTTTGAAATAGTTTTCTTCATCTTGCAGTCATTTGGCTGCCTCTACTTCCATTTCTTGGTGTGCCACACGGCACTATTTATTGATCACATTTGGGTAACATCTCTGCTAGACCTTCAGATGATATTCAATTATCCATTTCTTGTAAACACAGAGATGCCTCTAAGTTGCATAATGTTGCACCTGTTGTACATCTGACAGATTGTTGGCGGTGAAACCACTTGGTCCATTAGGCTTATTTGTTAAAGTTCCTGGATGTTTCTGTCAAGTATCTGGTTACGATATTTTTACCCTCTAAAAATGTATTGTCTCTTACTCTAAACTGATAATTATGCAAGCCATTTTACCTTCATGATTATTCCAGTTAATTGTTAAATGTTGTGAGAAGAGTTACTTGGACAATCTGCAAGTTGATCCAAAAGTTTCTGGAAGGCTTTTGTTCTTGTAGGTTCTCACATATATCACAAGTGTTAAGTCACTTGCTCTGGATTCTCAGTCACTACTTCTTGCAATTAAAGAGCTCAATTCTGACATTTAGAGCCATTCAGGGACAAGCAAAATAATTCATAATGAGTCTGTTTGTTTCTCGTCTCTGATTTCTTTTTTCAGCCTGAAACTATATTGCTTTAATTATTAATTCAATAGGGGACGTCCCGATCTAAACACAAATGTTGGATCTTGTCCCACTGATATCATTTTAAAAAGATGATTGTCACAGATTTGACAAACTTCACTGCAAGTTTAATTAAAAATTTCTAGACTTTTTTTTTAGCATACATATTATTATTATATTTTCAAAGGGATACTGGTGGTTCAGGTTGTCAATGTGCTATTGATTTTAGAGACAGACTCGTGGCTGGACAAATCCGCCTTTGGGACTTTTTGATACAGAGCAAATTTCACAGCAATAACGACAAAAATTGTCCAGATGCAAAGCAGACCAAAACTATGCAGTGCTCCCATGCCCCACTGTTGTCTTTTTAACTAAAACATTTGTGTGGCATTTTGCCCTCTTTCTAATATTTGAATATTAAAAGCCAAGCCTTGCATGAACGATCAAACAGTGGAAGACCCAGAACACTGGGAATACGGGAAGTAGGATCAGAAAAGAGCTTTTTGATCTAAAATAGTCAAAAAAAATCGTGTCTATGGGGAAGACTAGAAGACAAAACCGAATGATGCCACAAGTCCTGGTGCTAGCTGTGCTACAGAGCCAAGTCTATACAGCACAGTAGCTGTATAGACCAACTGTGTCGTTTGAGAGAGACTAAACAGCGTAATGGCACTCTTGTATCTAAAACATTGAAGATTGGCAAAAACTAACCCTATATGCTTAAGTGTTAAAAGCATTTTTCACCCGTCTGAGTTTCCGGTTAAGGATACGTTTCCTCCTCCAACTTCATATCAGCTGCGTCCATCTACACGCAGAGAAATGTCCAGCAGCAAGTAGGTATGAAAAGGTAAAGGGGTAAAAATGCTCAGTTCAGCTCACAGCTGATCATCAAGTGTCATCTTGTCTGCTATTTAGATAGCAACACTTTAAAACAGTTATTGTCTAAATGACTTTCACATTGTAGCCTAATTTACACAATAAAAACATTTTCAAACTCAAATTGGTTGAATTTTTCTCATTTTCATAAGAACCCTATCAATTCAAAAAAGGTTTATGCAGTATCAAAAAGAATATTTTGTTGTATCAAGACTGACAGGTGACCCTTAACCCATAATTAATCTGGGTTTTATTTTACGTTCGGATAGCTTGTTTGCCTTATGAGAGGAACTGCTTATTATTCATAATCAGAAATATTTAGGGGTGACAAAAGAAGACATCTTAGCAGTCACTTATTTTGATTAGATGTCAAACAGAGATTTTCTATTGACCAACACTTCCAATTAAATGATTTGCAGCAGGACCAAACATGTTGAGGCATTCCTGAATATAACTGCACCAAAATTAACAAAAAGTTGCCAAATAAAACAAAAAAAATTAGACATACCTATACGCCTACACTCAACAAATTCCAAAAGTTGACAGATATAGTGGATTAGATATTAACTTGATATAAATCACTCAAATGCTGGCCAAAACTTTGCAACCACAAACCAATAATGGGCTTTGTTTTGACACATGGCCTGAAAAGTTACAAAAAGACAATGTTGTTGAAGCTAGATCTGCTTACATTCCACAGGGAGAGGTGATGAGGTGATATTGTAAATGTGTCAGTGTTTGACACCACAACACAACTTCAGACATGTTTAGTTTGACACTCAAACGAAACTGCTGGCAGAGCCACATCTGCCAGCAGTTTCATCGACACGGCTTTGCCTCGAAAAGCTGCCGTGCTGCAGTTTTAACCGTTCTTTTAAATTAACAACGCCACTAATTAAATATGAACTGATTTGCATTGATAACATTTGTCAGGGAAAAGACATGTGTCCCTGGGTATCTATGATGCATGACAACAAAGACAAACAAATGACTTATTTATTGTTTGGGTTGTATGACTTCTGTTTGAGCTACATTCACATTTGCAACAGATAGCTATTAATCTAGAGAATGAAAAAGCCTGTACGAGTTAAATCTTTTAACACCTACATGTGCATTTTCTTCAGACACAAGAAGACTTAATTAAATACAGAGTCTGAGGATATCACACCCGAGAGAAAGCAGCAACTAAATGATCAGACGTTATGTTTCCTGTGTTAAATAATTACACGTTCGATGACGAGGTTTGTATCATTTCTTATTCCTTCTTCGACAGTAAGCCAACGCCGCAGCCGAACACCGTGTAAGTTGCATGTGAGTGTACTACTGGCAGTCAGCTGAGTCACTGCCTCGACTCAAAACTGTGTCTGCAGGCGCTCAGCAGTGACAGGTTGAAACAATAACTGTGCTCTGATTGCTCACTGGAGCTTTGAGTGAGTCACGGCTGAAGGAGACAGCGTTGTCCCACCAGGGCGTGCAAGGTAGAATGTTACTAACGTGTTGCTCATTAAACGTGTTTCATAAATCACAGACGGGTTGCTTATGTTGGCGCTTCAGGATAAATGCCAAACATGAGCGTTTATCATCTCTTCCCGAGCATCAATCTGTTCTAGCTTTAATTTATAAAACAAGTACAACATTTTCAACCCAAAGGTGACAATGAAATATGGAAGAGCAGAAATGGGTACAGACACAAATAAGAAAGGAGGTGGAAAAAAAACAAAAAAGTCTTACCTGTCCACAGCCGGGAGCGTTACACACAAAAGGTCTGTCGTCCCCCATTTTTGCAAAGAGCTTGCAATGAAACTGTGAGAGAGGAGAAGAAGAGAACATAGCAGCAAGCTTTTATGGATCTCAGAACTGGCAAATCCCGAAAACAACAAAACAGGGATGCTGCGGCTTGTAGACTTCAGTCTGAGCAGGAAGCCGAACGCTATTCAAAAATAACTCTGGCACAGAGGAAGACATGCACAGAGGCAGCGAAGAGAAGTTTCCCTGGTGATATTTCCTTCAAGCACAGGGGCTTCTGGCTGGCCAATGAGGAGCTGCTTACAGTCCGGAGCGACAGCCACCGTTTACACAAACACAGCTCCCTCCCCTACTATCTTTTGCTCAAACTCGCCTAAGTTCACTTCCAAGCCCTTGTTCTCTCATGACCACTCCTCCCTCTGTTTACCTCTCCAGTACGTCCAACCGGGATTCAGCATCTCCTGCTCCAACTCAGCCAACCGTCTTAGGCTCTTAGTTTTTAAAAACTAACTTATGAATTTACAGCAAAAGTGTATAAGCTCAAAGAGAGTAGAAACACTCTCATCGATTAAATTTTTACTGATTGTAATTGCTCTCTCATTCGTTTTTTTTCTAAAAGACAATAACAGGAAGATTCACACAACATCTTGCTCTTTTTTTTTATTTTACTTGACACGATCAAGTAGCATGAGACTAATATTAATTATTTATTTGATATTGTTGTATAGAAGTATGTGAAGTACGTAATAAAGCAAGAATGCTCCAATTAATTCTCATTTTGCCTTGATTAGCAGGTCACAAATGATAATGATAAAAAAAAGTCAGATTTTTTTTCTCCCTATTGATTAAACACAGAAAACTCCCACAGTGTTGCTCTATAAAACAACACAAATCAGCAGCTGCAGTATGCAACTTTTATGTAGTTTTGGTGCACTTCTTAGTTATAATTAAGAAAAAGGCATAACATTGGGTTTTGCACAACCTTATTTCAAAGTTGCACAACATTTAACTATTGCAGCACATTTTTTTATTTTTTGTAATACAATCAAAAATGAAAGAAAATCTGAACATTTCTGAATTGAAATCAATAATTATGCACCTCTGATTCAACTTTATCTTGTTTCTAGGTTATATTGTTATTAAAATATAAAAATGAATTTAGATATTTATTCTGGGTGTTAACTCTGTTCAACCTTTGTTTTAGCATTATGAAAATATTAGTCAAGCATAACCAAGACCTTTACTTTCCTGCTGCTGGAAAAAAAAAAAAAATCAAATTCACAAAAAAAAAGCTTAACCAAACAATGCTTTAACAATCCTGGTAATGTAAAATTTGTTCAGATTTAGTGATTGAATATAATTGAATTTTTCCAAATGACTATTTTAAAGCTAGAATTATTTCGAGGTCATTGTAAAGCACCATTTGTTGCTGTATGTCTTACTTTTCTGCTTTCTTGTGCACAAACTCATTTCAGGTTATACATCTTGAGGACATCCTACTATCCCATCCTAAATCATTTGTAAACGCTGCAAAAATTGGCACATAAGTGGATGCTTGAATCCGCAGGAAACACCACAGCTTTCCACAGCGCTCAAAATAATCACTTCATCCTGCTCCTTCTGAGTGGATGCTCTTGTAAAGAGTTAAATATGCACAAGCTCCCGTTCGGTTCCTCCTCTTGTAATGCCAAGCTAAAACTGAGCGCGGCCGGCTGCTACTTCTATCGGCAACTCCACCCTGCACAGCTGGACAAAACTCCTTGTGAAGAGAAACTGGAAAAGTGGGAAAAAAAAACATTCAAGATAAATCAAGGGAAATACAGGAGGGGAGAGGGCCGGCGACGGACATGAATGTTTCAGCATTCTCAGCTGGCACAAAGTGACGTCTGGCTGCTATTATGCAATCCCGTCCCACTGACAAAGCAGCTGCCACCGGTATATATAAAGTATGGTTTTATGTATTAAACCACAGACAAACAGAATATGTACAAACCACATGTTTGTAATAGAGATGTAAATATTCCTGGTAAGTTTAAACTGAAATGATCTCGACTAACCCTGCCCTCTTCTCCGGGTTTCTGTTTTAATTCGACACCCAAATAGTTGAAAAGGGAAAAATATTGAATCAAATTTCATCCCTTTAATATCACAGAAGCACTGACCACATAAACTCTTGTTGTACCTAATATATGGGTTAAGCGCGTTGCCAAACGTTCTTGCATGGGACATATTATTCATTACTTTGGCCACGCATAAATGTCTGAAAGTTTTCCCAGTGTTGAAGTCAGTAAATTTTCCTCCTCCTTCCCCCTGCCATCTCTCGCTCTGCTGAGGACAGCTGCCCTTGAGCCAACACATGATTACTGAAGCCTTGTGCTGGAAGACGCGCGCCGAACATGCAACGGGCCTTTTCTTCTCAAGAGGCAAAAATAATCTGCATTACATTTGCAAGCAACAGCTGTTCCTCTGTGGACAAAAAGACAGAAGAATCTGGTTTGTTGGAGGACTAACCGAGGCAACAGGTCGGTGAAGGGGGGCCTCGCGAACTGCCCCCAATTTACCCAGCCTATTTGTGCAGAGGTTCGTCTGCAAACGAGATACTCCATCGAGCTCGTTATACCGAGGGTGTGGACTGAGTGGAGAACCAGACACATCTGGCGTCAGGAGTGGGAACAGATTGTTAGAGTTTACATCTTACTAAAGACATGCTAGACATTAACTTGGCTGGCTGGCACCAGCACTAAAACGTGGGATTTGATTTTGTGGAAAGTCCTTCATAAATCGCAAATGACAAAAGCGGAAAATGTCGTTTATTGTGGGAGCTGCCTTGACCAAAACTTAGACTCGGTTAAAGCACTTTTTCAGTGCAGCGCTGCAATTGAAAATAAATGATTTATTTTATAAGATCAGAGCCCTAAAGACTGAAGCAATACATGTACCTCTGCATAATTCCTGTGCATATGACAGTAAATTCTGCAGTAAATGCGTCTTTCCTCGCCGAGGAAACTAATCCAAGAGTTGAGACAATCAATCACTTTCCTAGTTACTGCAGTGCCGATGCACATCGTCGATATTCATTACAGTCCACCTGTTTTTGCCTCCCTTCAGCCAAGGTGACATGAAAGCACTCGAAGGGCCCGGATTCCTGTCCTCCTCATTGAGCCGCTGCCATTACCCCCACCAACCCCACACAACTTTGGGTTTCTCCAACTCAGCAGGTGTAGGGGAACAAGTCTCAGCTATAATCAGCCACAGCCAGGCAGTGTTTGACGCTGCCTGCTAGGAAACTGACTAAACAAACTGTATTAATATCTCCTGCTGCAGCCATGACGCGGGACTGTGAAGCTTAAATTGCTCGCGGCCAGGGGAGACCCCACCAAGCAAATGAGGAGGTAAAGAAAGACAGAAGGGAAAACAGAAATAAGTTGCAAAGTTTGGCAGAAGAATTCGTACCTGGCAAACGTTTTCACATTACGACCACAAACTTTGTCCGTTTTATTGAGTTTGAGGTTGTGTGCTCTTATGCGCTTCATAAAAGTAGAACACAATTGTGAAGTGGAAGGAAAACTACACATGGGTTTTTGACAAAAATCTGAAAAGTGTGGTGTAGGACCTGAACACAATTCAGTAAATGAAGTCCATCTGTGTGTCATTCAATTTAAATATACATTTATGGAGCAGTGTTAGGTTATGAAAGCAATAAATTGCATCTTAATCCATCATCAGCAATGCACAGCAAACATGATTGAGGAATGAAGAGCTCAAAATGTTTTAGCTTTCAAACTTTGCAAATTTCCAGAATGTATTCATGAGGACTCACATTGAAAAATGAGCAAAAAATAAAAAAATAAAACAATCAGTTTACGTATGCAGAAGGAGGAGACAATTCTAAATCCTTGTAACCGTCATTGCATCTTAAGGCGGTTCCACAAACACCTGGACATATATGTACACCACACTTTTCAGATTTGGGGTTTTTTTTCTGAAACATTTTACAAAACAATATAACTTCCTTCCATTTCACAATCATTTAGAGTTGTTCTGTCACATAATACTCAAATGACATCGAAGTCTGTGGCCTTAATGTGACAAAATGTGAAAAATTTAAAATGGGTAAAAATACTTTTACAAGGCATTTTAAGTACAGCAACATGGATTTGTATCAGATCACATATGATACTAGAGATCTAGATTGTGGTTGGCTGAGTGCATCAGCCAGTATTTATTTATGTCAGCAATGGGAACACAAGATTTAGTAAATGGAACAAACGTAACCCTAAACCCATATCTTCATGGCTAAGAAAAATTGAAATCTATGCCAAGCCCCGAGGACAATGCAAAATAAAGGCATGGTAGTATTGTAAAATAGAAACTTAGAAGCAGCGCCAATTAAACTTCATTGTTACTGTTGTGCAATTTTACATCTAATGATTTTTTTTTATTTTGCTTTGCATTTTTGAAAAAAAAAAAAAAGTTTAGCTTGTGGGTTAATGTTAAACTTGTTAAACTTACTTGAATAAGTTTAATATATATATATATATATATATATATATACACTTTTAGGACTTTTCTTTCTGCAACGTATATTTTACTTTTAGTTGAGTAAAACTTCTGTCTACTCTCTGTGAGTATATTCACTGAATGAAGAGGGGACACATTTTAACCCAAAATGTTCCAGAACCAGACACAAGCTTTGCTGCTCAAATGATATGTATGCAGTGCTTGGCCTTTTGTATACAACACTTACTGTGCATATTAGCTTCATCAATTTTATGCAGAGAAAAAAATTTTTTAAAGTAATTTCTAAATAATAAATTAGATGTTCGGATCAGTTAACCAGTATTTAAGCATTTGACATTTTATTTTTACTTAAAATATTGCTGCTCTACTTTGATTGCAGTTTTCAGGTACTCTGCCCACCTCTGCACTGTGTATTCTTGGACTTTCCTTCTATGTTGCACAAAACGTAAAATGCATGCTTTTTCTGGGAGTGAGTCAACAAGTTTAGCGAAGTTTTAAGAAACTGTGGGTTGTTGTTTTGTTTTTTGTTCCCCCCACAGTGTAACACCTCTAAGTGATGGAATGAGGTACAACTGTGCCAAAAACATGACCTACATTCCTGGCTGAGGTGTTGACACGCGTGGGGACACGGATCGTCGGGCGTCCCGACAGTTCAAATTGCATCGCTGTGGATGTCACTTGCATCCTGAGACGTTCAGTTCTATTGAGGTTCCTCTTGCAATTTGCTGTCAGCCTTACAATTCACAGATAGTGCGACGGGTTTTTATGCCGAGATCCGCGGCTTGCAAGAGTCCAACAGGAGCCACTCAAACTTCAGTTCCCTCTTCCAGACAGCGCTGACTCTCTTGAAAAAAAAAAAGTTTCTCTCTTTTAGCCTCCATTACCTTCTTGGCTCACCGCTGTAGCCCTGCCTTTTCCCGTAACCAAGCCGCCTATTCTGCACGGCAATTGGTCGCCAGCCTGTCAGTCAGAAGCGTCTCATTCGCACATTGCTTTTGGGGCCCGTCAATAACAGCGACGAGCCAAGTCCCATTGGTCCAAAGCTACCGTATCAACTTTTTTGTGCGCTCGCAAAAAAAAGAAAAAAAGAAAAAAAAAAAAGAAGCCTAATGGCTAGCTGCTGCGGCTAGCGTCGCCAACAGGCCGAGCGCACATTGAAAATGAGTGATAACAGCGACACCGACGTTTTCGGTTCTCACAGTAAACACACGCCGACACAAGCGGAACTACGCCAAAAGTCAAACTGTGCATTTTAAAAGGCATTTAGAGAGGACGAGCCCCCCGCCCCCGGGGCAGCACTGAGTTGGTTAGCGGAATGTCACTTGAGTGCAAAGCAGCGAGACTGTTGGTCCGAATGAGACGCTGAAGCTGCGACTAACAGTTCTGACAGTTACATAAACATGAACACATGTCCGCCACAAGCACCGGAATGAGTCCGAGCGACAGAAAGCGCGTCACGTGTAAGAGAAGTATACGTAACTTTAATGAATTTAAAAGTTTGAAGTGTTTATAAACTCACCCTGGCGCCCCTCTCTCTCTCTCTCTCTCTCTAACTCTCTCTCTCTCTGATTCCCCTCTCCTCTCCTCTCCTCTCTCTTGGAATTTGACACTCCCCTCGACAGAAAGTTATCGCGAGAATTCATGCGAGTTGTAATAACGCATTCAGAAAATGCAGCCCGATTGGCTTGCTTTTATCCGACACGAGACTTTCTAGAGACACAGCAAAAATGCTATTTGGCTAAAATACTCTTGTTAGCAAATATTTGGAGATAAGATCAGGCTAATTGAAGTAATGCTTGAATACAAACACGGTGCTAAATATAGATGATGTGTTCCACAGTCAATGTTATTAGACTGAGTATTCATTCACAGTGTTTGTGACTGTCATCAGAGCGAGAAACGAAGCAAGAGCGACCCCTGGTGGATTGAGGCTTGACCACGTTCAGTGCAGCTTTGGTCTTCAATAATCTTTTTTTCTGTAGGTTCTTTCACCCCTTTTTGTATTTCACAAAATAACCTTAAACGTGTGTAAATTGCTTTAAGAAAAATGTGTTTAATGACAAAATGTGGATTAAATTTATGAGCAAATATATTATTGTTCTTTTCTTAGGGATTTGCTGGAGAGCGTGGAAGAGTCAAGAGTCAAGAGTTTAAGTTAACGGCGTAATGTTGGGAGTTGTAAATGTGAGCTGGCAGAAATAAACCACAATCGCAATTGAATTGTTTGCGTTTAAAAATGGTAAGAGAAGAAGGCAGGCAGGCAAAGAAAAAGGCATTTACTTGCATTATTTCAACAAAGAAAAGAAGCGCCTTTGCAGGCATACACAAGAAATCATTGTATGGTTAATTTATATGTATATTTACAGAACAGGCAGAAAAAAATAAGTTTAACAAATGGTCAGATTTCAGAGCTCCAACACATTTTGCCAGCTCACTGAGTGGCTTTACAAAAGACAAAACTTACCCATCATGCCATTTCATGGTTTAAAACATTTAAACATTGAATTTAAAACAAAGTGACTTTAGTTTTGGAACCCGTGAGCACCCTTGAAAAAGTTTAGCGAGTTTAAACCTCCATTGTAGAAACAAACAAAAAGAAAACACTCAATAAAGCCCAAATAAACAGAGTCAAACATGACAGCAGGCGTGGTGATACCACTTTTGTTAGCGTTGAACATATTCCGAAGACTACCTGGCACATTTAAGTGAAACCAACAGCAATAATCAGCATCACTCTGCTGCTACAAAATAAATACAATTGTTCCCATCTGGTATAATCCTTCCTGCTCCAAATAGATGTGAGTGTGTTTAATGCTATTTTCTTAGTGAATATCACTGACCAATCACAACCAAAACTTATCATACAAATTATTTCAACACTGCCTCGCAAAAGAGTTTATCGTCTTTCAACTTTTCCACATTTCAACACGTTATAGCCACAAATTTCAGTGTATTTTAATGGGAGTTTATGTGACAGACCATAACAAAGCAGAAGATAATTGTGAAATGGATGGTAAATTATCCATGCTCATGTGAGCACTGGAGGGAAGTTAAATGAAGCTAAATATTTTCTCTGCCATCATAGTGTCAAAGATATTAAAGAAAAACACAAAAATATCACAGCAAGACAAAAGTGGTGTATTTTGTTTTTCCTTTTACACCTTCATATTTTCAGCAGAAACCAAATTTCTTTGCGTACAAACATCACACATCATTTTTGAGTGACTTTGGCCAGGTTGAAGGGGTGTGGTTGGCCTCTGCCGAACCGCCCTCAAACTGTTATTAAAATCCTTAAAAGTGATCGCAACACAAACAAAACTTTTGCTGCAAAAACCTGCACTAACCAAACTCAAAATGTCTGACACTATTTCATAAAAAATGTGTGTGGGGAGCTGTGGTGGTGGGGGGAGGTAATGGGTTCTGCAGAGGTTCACGTTCCAGCAGGAAAATAACTGTAATATAATACTCGTGTGTTAAATGGTCTAGTCAAAGTTCAGACCTATATCCAACTGAGCTTTTCAGGCAGGATATTGAACACAGATGTCCAGAGAAGGTCTCCATGTAATCTGAATGAGCTTGGAACTATATTGTAAAGAAGACAGCCACTTTGAAGCACCGATTGATTTCTCGCCATAAATATAATTTACTTTCGAAATTTTGTGGTTTGTCGTGTGGCGAAATGTGGAGAAGTTGAAAGCTTATGGTTCCTCTTCCCAGATATTGTACCTGGGAAGCATCTCACAAAAAGGGCTGGAAAACCTTCGTAATTACAACGTCATTCATCAACTGGATTTTTTCTTTTTGTTATTCCAGCATGCTGAAAGCATGTCACTGTACGTTTATTATCATTTTCAAACAAAGCCATCTTCTGAGTTCGACACAGTTTCATTTACAAACCTAATCAAGCAAAAATGAGTAATAATAAGCATTCTAAGATATTCTAATGAATAACTTTTTAGAACATAGCTAAGTGATCAAAGGACTTGTTTGATCTTGGTTTATTCCCACGAGGAAGTCGAGCAAATCTGATGCTTTAGTTTGGCGGGGAGGTTTTCTGTTTCTTTTTGCTACCAGACTTCAAAGAAAAACCCAACAGCTGTTTAGCTGAGAGTGTGCGAGTCCTGCCTTGTTCATTCACATGACACTGATTAAACACAGCAGTCTGCACTTAAATCACTCCTCGTCCAGATGTTGTGTAAATACAAGACAATAAAAAAAAGACAAACATCTGTATCGACTTGCCAATAAATGCGGTATGACGAGCTGTTTAATCATCAGCCCCTGAGGTCTGAGGATCCTCCGCCGCCACCGCCGTCATCAGTCTCTCAGTAGTAGATAGTCTTTAACCGTTTCAGGTAGGGGAAGCTCTTTCACGGCGGTGGGGAGGAACTGCACTCCGAGGCTCTGCCGTATGGCGCAGCGCGCCAGCGAGCGCAGCGTGGGCGCCTGGGCCACCATGTTGGACAGCCTCGCCAGCAGCTGGGGGTCTTTGCTCAGCTCCTTGGGGAGGGTGCCGTCAGCCCGCCGGATCTCGAAGCGCCCTGCCGCCCGGCAAAGCAGCTCCAAGCACTCTTCCTCCTGTTCCGTGCCCAGGCCTCGGGCCAGCAGGGCCACCAGCCGGGATATAGGGGTCTGACCCTTCAGGTTGGTCACATGGACCTGGGCACCGTAGTCTAACAGAACCTTGACGCTCTCCAGATTGCCCTTCATTGCTGCCCAGCTCAAGGGCGTGTCATTGTTGTAGTCCCGGGCATTGGGGCAGGCCCCGCTCTCCAGCAGGGCCCTCACACACTCCGGGTTGTCTTTGAAGGCGGCCCAGTGGAGCGGCGTGTCCTTGTTGCCGTCCAGCGCGTTCGGCTGGGCGCCGTACTCCAACAGCAGCTCCACGCAGCTCTCGTCCTTCTCTGCAGCGTAGTGCAGCGCCGTGCGGTTGTAGCCATCCAGGGCATTCACCTGACGGAGGAATCATATCAGCAGGAACGTAAAAAGTTTAGCTGTTGGAAAGACAGGTTTCAACAACTAAAAACAATCTAAATTTCTAGTTTTTGTGCAATTTATTAAAACTAAGAACCCTTACTGTTTTTGCTCTATAAACCAATAGTGTGCATTTCATCTACTTAAAATTAAAGCATTAAGATAATTAAAAAAACATATATTTTATACATGGAGTTAAACTTTAAAATACAATTCCTTTGTGTTAAACTCTTAGGTGTTAAAGCTCTTGATGCAAACAAAAAATGAGAGTGGTAAAGAAAAAAGCTGGAATTGGCAGCTCAGATCTTAATTATAAGTGCATCTTTAATACACCTTTATAAATACACGAAAACTACCTCCCATGCTGCATGGACAGCAAAAACAACAACAATTTATTCCTACTTTGTAAATAATAGACTAATGACAGTATAGACCTCAACTTACTTTAATGGGTTTAGAGTTTTTGTTTCTAAAGTGCGTCTCATTTCTGAGTCACTTTGTTAGAATAATTAACACATTTTCTCGTGCAAAACTTTCGTTTTTAGTGCATTTTGCCTCTAGTTAAATTCCCAAAAAAGCCATTTGAAGTTTCCTTTGGCTTTCAGTGACAAACCGTGGTGTGTTAGGAAGCAAGTAAACAAACTAATAGCTTGTCCGTTCACACAGATTAACCAACTTTGAACACAATCAAATGAAAACTTGCATGTGTAGTTATTGTTGCTGATAAAATCACAGGACGTGCACATCAGGCATGTTGCGGTTCGGAAGTGTTTTCACTAAACTAAGGACACATGTTTCACACCAACGTACTAAATTGATCAGTTCAAGCCTCCATTTAAAACACTTTTCATTTCTATGGCTTTTAATCCTAGTTATGCTGGGCATCTGTGTGCTGGCTGTTTTTCAATCGATTATTTTTGCCAATTTTTTTTGTTAAGTTGTTAATTTTTTTATTATGTACATCAATTTGGTGAGCTGGAGTTGGTTTTAGATGTGCTATTTAAACACATTTGACTGGATTTGCTTCTGCCCTGATATTATAAGAGCACTTCTGTCAACATTTTGCTATTTCTATTCCACAAGTTTTGTCTGAACTACTTTTAACTCATCTCTAAGTTTTTGATTTTCAAAACTGAAAAAATCCAGTTTCTATATATATATATATATATATATATATATATATATAATATATATATATATATATATATATATATATATATATATGTATATATTAAAACAAAAAAAGATTTTTCTGTCCATAACTCAAAAACCAAAGCAGAGTGGAAATGAAAGATTGGTTGAATACAGTATGAAACCTCTTCTATCAACAATTTTCTTTCATTTCCTTATCAGACTTGGAAAATGCTGAAAATCAAATTGCGTACTTTTCCAGTCAAGATTGGGCAGGAACCCGGAAACCTGCTAAAATATAACCGCCACTTGTTTTCCAGGGCTACGAATAACCACTGCAGAGAAGCTCAAAAACCACATCTTGATGTACTGCACTGCTTCAGATCAACAAGCACAAACAGGCTCAGC